CTCTTCTGTGCTCTTTCTGTCTTCTTGTGGGCCTTGGTGCCCAAAAACTCTCATCTTAAGTTGATTTGCTTTGTTTCTGTCTCTTCTGTGCTCTTTCTGTCTTCTTGTGGGCCTTGGTGTCAAAAAACTCTCAGCTTAAGTTGATTTGCTTTGTTTCTGTCTCTTCTGTTCTCTTTCTGTCTTCTTGTGGGCCTTGGTGTCAAAAAACCTCTCATCTTAAGTTGATTTGCTTCGTTTCTGTCTCTTCTGTGCTCTGTCTGTCTTCTTGTGGGCCTTGGTGTCAAAAAACTCTCATCTTAAGTTGATTTGCTTTGCTTCTGTCTCTTCTGTGCTCTGTATGTCTTCTAGTGGGCCTCGGTGTCAATAACCTCTCATCTTAAGTTGATTAGCTTTGTTTCTGCTCTTCTGTGCTCTGTCTGTCTTCTTGTGGGCCTTCGTGTCAAAAAAAGCTCTCACCTTAAGTTGATTTGCTTTGTTTCTGTCTCTTCTGTGCTCTGTATGTCTTCTAGTGGGCCTCAGAGTCAAAAAAACCTCTCATCTTAAGTTGATTAGCTTTGTGTCTGTCTCTTCTGTGCTCTTTCTGTCTTCTTGTGGGCCTTGGTGTCAAAAAACTCTCTTGCTTTGTTTCTGTCTCTTCTGTGCTCTGTCTGTCTTCTTGTGGGCCTTGGTGTCAAGAAAACTCTCACCTTAAGTTGATTTGCTTTGTTTCTGTCTCTTCTGTGCTCTGTATGTCTTCTTGTGGGCTTTGGTGTCAAAAAACCTCTCATCTTAAGTTGATTTGCTTTGTTTCTGTCTCTTCTGTGCTCTTTCTGTCTTCTTCTCAAGCCTTGGTGTCAAAAAAAAATCTTGCTTTGTTTCTGTCTCTTCTGTGCTCTTTCTGTCTTCTTGTGGGCCTTGGTGTCAAAAAAACTCTCATCTTAAGTTGGTTTGCTTTAAGTTGATTTGCTTTGTTTCTGTCTCTTCTGTGCTCTTTCTGTCTTCTTGTGTGCCTTGGTGTCAAAAAACTCTCATCCTAAGTTGGTTTGCTTTGTTTCTGTCTCTTCTGTTCTCTTTCTGTCTTCTTGTGGGCCTTGGTGTCAAAAAATATCCCATCTTTTTGTGTCTGTCTCTTCTGTGCTTTTTCTGTCTTCTTGTCGGCCTTGGTGTCAATAAACTGTCTCTTCTGTGCTCTTTCTGTCTTCTTGTGGGCCTTGGTGTCAAAAAACTCTCATCTTAAGTTGGTTTGCTTTGTTTCTGTCTCTTCTGTGCTCTTTCTGTCTCCTTGTGGGCCTTGGTGTCAAAAATCTCCCATCTTTTTGTGTCTGTCTCTTCTGTGCTTTTTCTGTCTTCTTGTTGGCCTTGGTGTCAATAAACTGTCTCTTCTGTGCTCTGTCTGTCTTCTTGTGGGCCTTGGTGTCAAAAAACTCTCATCTTAAGTTGGTTTGCTTTGTTTCTGTCTCTTCTGTGCTCTTTTTGTCTTCTTGTGGGCCTTGGTGTCAAAAAACTACCATCTTTTTGGTTTCTGTCTCTTCTGTGCTTTTTCTGTCTTCTTGTGGGCCTTGGTGTCAATAAACTGTCTCTTCTGTGCTCTTTCTGTCTTTTTGTGGGCCTTGGTGTCCAATAACTCTCATCTTAAGTTGATTTGCTTTGTTTCTGTCTCTTCTGTTCTCTTTCTGTCTTCTTGTGGGCCTTGGTGTCAAAAAACTCTCAGCTTAAGTTGGTTTGCTTTGTTTCTGTCTCTTCTGTGCTCTTTCTGTCTTCTTGTGGGCCTTGGTGTCAAAAAACTCTCATCTTAAGTTGATTTGCTTTGTTTCTGTCTCTTCTGTGCTCTTTCTGTCTTCTTGTGGGCCTTGGTGCCCAAAAAACTCTCATCTTAAGTTGATTGGCTTTGTTTCTGTCTCTTCTGTGCTCTTTCTGTCTTCTTGTGGGCCTTGGTGTCAAAAACTCTCATCTTAAGTTGATTTGCTTTGTTTCTGTCTCTTCTGTGCTCTTTCTGTTCTTGTGGGCCTTGGTGTCAAAAAACTCTCATCTTAAGTTGATTTGCTTCGTTTCTGTCTCTTCTGTGCTCTGTCTGTCTTCTTGTGGGCCGTGGTGTCAAGAAAACTCTCACCTTAAGTTGATTTGCTTTGTTT